CGGAATCTGTACAAATCCATGAGCCGACGTCAAAAGCAGCTATTGAGTGGCTGAATCTAAATCAAGAACCGTGGGATACGGTCTTGTACAACTGGCCTATTAGTTTCTGTTACCGGAAACAGTATCTCAACCACCACAATTTCGTTACTCGATTGTTTACGACATTTCCGCACTATAAGGCACCTCATGGTTATCAATTGGTAAGTTTTTTAATAGTATATTGCTTATTTGTGTCGATTTACCATCAATGCTTCTGCTTATTGCTATAAATCAGTTTAGTGAAGTAGTTTTGAAGCTATTATCAGTCGAGTGAAGTATCTTTGAAGCTATGTTCAAGCTCCAATACTGGAGAAAGTCTGAATTAGTCTTAGTCACAGCCATAGTGGAAGCCGGGGTAATCAGAAATGCAAAATGTAAAAAGAAACATCCCATTTTCATAACATATTGAAACATAAACGGATTTGGTTAGTTTTATTTATTATAATAAAAAAAGTACAGTGGGGTAAGTGAAAATTAGGTGGGGCAAGTGGGTAATTGCTTTCAAACCAGTGAACTATAATAAAATGAATTCAATTTATTTGAATTACCCAATAATTCGTAATGCTGTCTTAAGGAGCCAACGTAATAAAACATTGTCCGTTGCTATTGTGGCTTAAGACAATTTACCAGCTTGTCCGAACCAATTTTCACTTACCCCACTGTACTTTATATAATAAAACTGACGAAATTCGTTGAATTTTGACTATTTTATGAAAATCGATACCCTGATACCCTGTTTTCCCCTATCGATAGTTTTTGTTTTTTTATCAGAAATATAGGTATATACTCTCATTTTTCTTTAAACATCGTCGTGATTGTGCGCTGCTAAATTTGTCAATTTTTTATCACACGGGCTATCGTTATTCGTTTTTTTTCCGTTCGGTATACCTGTAATATTGTACTGGTTGTTAGTGGAAAGTGCAGTTCGTTGCGATAATCGTCTAATTAGAGCATATTTTGTGTTGTGAAAACAGTGAAAAAGTTATCCAATCAGACATATTGTAGTGTATACTGTCTAGCATTGAGCGATCTTGAGAATTGAAATTCCTCTTTGCGTATTAGAGCATCTCCACCGCTGTTTCTAAATCACTTTTGGAAACTGAGTCAGCATGACTTCCGCCTGTGACCAATGCGCTAAACCAGTTAAAGGCGATGAAGAATCCGTCTCCTGCATGGCTTTTTTGCGACAGGATGATTCACCTAAAGTGCGGGTGCAGTTTCGAACGCCTTTGGATACGGTTGTGTTTTAAGTTTGTTCTCTGTTTTGTGCGTGCGTTCGCTCTCATAGTTTTCGGCTGCAATTGCCGGATTATCGCTGGCGCTCTGCCTCCCGGACGTTTATACGTGTGTGATTGGTAGTTTTCTCGCTTTCCTGGAAGTTTTAGAATAGAGAAAGAAAACGTGATTCAACATGTTTGCAAGCATCAGAAGAGATGTCGCGATCTGCGTTGTTTGATTTTCTCCCGGACCAGAAATTAGTGGCATCGCGAGTGATAATTTTTAATTTCAGTTTATTTACGCGCTGCAAGAGCTCGGCACAATCGGTGTTGATGTTGGCTCGCTTGTAACTTTTTTTGTTGTGTTTTCGAAAGAAATTGATCTAAATTGTACCAAAGGTGCTTCTGAACGTGTTTCGCAGTTGGGTGTGGAGAAATTCGTGAATTCGCGGTATATGTTCAGTGAAAATTCCGTGTCACAAAATTGCTCACCGAGTTTCCTTTTTTTTGCCGTTCGACGACGACGGGTTTGCGAGAGAAAAATAAGCATCGGGAATTCTCTCCCGGATGTATTGATTTGGGTGAGTACGTTCCAGTTGAAAATTGTTCTTATACATATCTCGATTGCATTTTCGAGCGGACGTTAGTAGAGTTTTGAGATTTAGGCGTTGTTGCATTTGCGGGCAGATGAGTTGGTCGCCGGTAAGGGCCAGTAAGTGCTGCCAGCAGATGAATCAAGAGGTATTCGAAACAAAATTGATAAGAAATGTCCATTCAAATCGATTTAATACAGTTGAACAAATTTCAAAACTATATACGTGCCAGATTTAGAAATAATATTTTTTGAATCTCGAAGTGTGTTTATGATACCATTATCCATTTGATAAAGGTAGAGTAAACATGCGGGGCTTATTGTATGTAAAAGTGTCCTCGGAGTGGTCGTGAATTACCAGGCATTCTGAAATGGGTCACTGGAGCTGCAATAGAACTAACACCTTCTAACTCCCGGACTAAACCTGCTTTAATTTAAAGATAATAAAAAGCAGTTTTCTTCCATAATAACACTGCCGGACAGTGGGGGTTAGATTGTACACACACACACACACACACACACACACACACTCATTTTTCTTTAAAGGTTGATATCGATTATCGTTTCTTGGAATTGGGCGCATCCGATGGATTAACTAAACTGGAACACCTTACACCAGCTATTGTATCGTACATTGCTAGAAAGGGCACTGACCCATCTGTTGTCAATTTGCTGAAACATCTCACGAACAGCAACACAAATACAGGTAAAGCGCTGTCTAGACTGAGCAGTTATAACATGTTATAACGGTTGTCAAATAATTGCAACACAGAAATCACCATCAAGATAGCGCTATAACATGTTATAACTCTATAGTCAGAACGTACTATAAGACTTATTATTTGATAGTTAATTTGTTGATGTAATAACGATGGTTTTCTTCCGTAGCTACTAGATTGTGCGCCTTGCTGCTAGGCTTGAGCACAGTACTACCACCACTCATAGTTGGCCTCCGATTCAAACCAACAATTCACCTGGCACAGGAGGATACAATCATCTTCGCCGAATCATTAGACCAGGTAGCATCAAAAGTTCAAGCAATTTACGCGTCATATGTTGAACGGAAAATACCTATTGTGCCAAAACTTGTTGTACTGGGAACCGGCATAGATCATATCGACGGGCGCTTCTTCGTGTGGTATTTGGACATCTGTTATGAATTGCAGTCTCTTGCAAGAGCTATTGACGTGCTGATCAAGATATCTGTTACTCTTGGAGTACCATACTCCAAAGTGTCCAAACTTGTTTGGCATTTCTTAGCAAGCTCTGCCTACGGTATCAAACATCCGGAATCTTACGCGAGTATCAATCGGCTGAATGGTTTTTGAAAGCAGCTAAGGATCAACTGTAAATCATGTTCAACTGTATGTTAAAAGAGTGTAACGATGTTTTCGAGACAGCAGAATCGTATCTGGATCACCTTAAAGAGTTCCACCGGGTACCAACTATCTATCGTTATGAATGCATGAAGTTGGATTGCCGTCAAATTTTTACCAAATATCATCCGTTTAGAAAGCACATCATAGGCCATTCCGAACATCGAGCTGCGAATATACAGTATGATACAACCACAGACAAACAGACATAACACATTGAATATTTCTCACTGTAAAACATCGTCGCTAAAACATTACCGCCATCTGTTGAGTACACTGTGGTGGGTAGTACGCTGAACAGATGGCGGTAGTGTGTAAACGTCAAACGCAAGGGAATTGAATATGCGCGCCACAGGTGGCGGTACTACCAACTACGATACTTTTAAATTGACCGTTAAATGCTTGTTCGATGAACAACTTGCGAGAGCTATGTCTGTTTGTCTGTGATACAACCAATATCAACGATGATACCAATGTCATAGACGAACACGTGGAAGCTACATGTGAAGAATCTCCACATTCCAGTGCTAAAAGGCAAAAGTTTGAGGAAGCTACCACCAGCTACGATCTAGAACGGGATAATACTGAGAAACATGACAAGGTAGACCAGGCAGCTGTAATGTTTACATTAAGTTTGCATAATAAGAATAATATTACTAGAAAAGATGTATACGATATTCAAAACGAAGCAGGTATTATATTTTCGGAGCTAGCACATTTGTTGGGTGATTTGAATATGGCGTTAGAAGATGTAGATGATGAATTCAATTTTAAAAACTACCTTGAAAAGATGAAAAACCTGTTTAGATTTATAAGCTCAGATTTTAAATTTTTTAATTACTTGCGTAAAACTGGAAACTTTCAATTACCAACAATAGTAACGGTAGCGAAAAATAAGATAAAGTCTCAGCTCATACAATTTGAAGCAGACGTTGAAATAGGACAGGACAAAAACTTCCTTATTCTAATACCTATAGAATTCCAAATAAAGTCGTTTTTAGAATCGCATAATGTACTGCAAGCAATCATTTCACACACCGCAAAACTAGAAAAGGCTGCAAAAATTGTAAACTTCGTCAATGGAACTAAATGGCACGAAATCAAGCAAAAGTACATTAACGACACAGTGCTACCTATCTGGTTGTATACAGATGAATATGAAATTAACGATAGTCAAAGCTATATAAAGCAATTTAAAATTGTTAGTTTCCACCGGTTGCTACTACCATAGGGGTAACTATCTTCGGTCCCAAGCTAATCGATGCACCCCTCGAAACATAGGAAAATCCTCGAACCCCTCATTTGCTTGGGACCAATAGGCTAGTCAATTTAAAATCGTTAGCTTCCACCGGTTGCTACTACCAACCGGTGGAAACTAACGATTTTAAATTGGCTAACTACTTGGCTAGCCTATTGGTCCCAAGTTCATCTATAAGCGTACCCCATTCCAGTCGAAATTCTAGTACTACACTATGTTTGTTTTGATTCGCTATGAAAGTTTGACAGATAAAACCATGATGATTTGAATAAAGGATAATGTTTTCTAATTGATGTTTCAAAGTAGAGTGAAGCCTAGCTTCAGCTTTTGTTTATTTATGTCTGTCTTTTTACTGTTACAGAGTTACGCTTGTCAGCAGCTCTACACACTATACTTCGGTTACTCAAAATAAATATTTATACTCAATGAACTAGAGAAGTTTTTCGAAACCATCCAACTCAGATACCACAATAAATAGGAAAGGAACTTTCTTTTCTAGAACTAAGTTCTGCTAACTATTTAATTAAGACATAAATAGATACTTTATTTGATCTTAGATGAACCTACAGTGTTTATTTTCTTATACAGTCTCGAACACTTGTTGAAATAATTAACAAGCAGATGATCAGTTTTCGAGAATATCAAGACATAAAATTAAACTTAATCAGATAAACTCAGTGCATTTTGCGAGATGTCGTCTCCTCACTTGAACCAGAATGTCAGTGGACGAGTGAAGCTGGGGAAGCCCTGAGCCTCAATGTGTTGCTTCTTCTGGACGCTAATAACATCGTTGATCTCATGAATAATTCCATTCGTGGCAACAATATCACACTTCGTTATGCCGGCATTTTGCACCTGTGGGCGACGGTTGCGGTTCAGCTTCAGACGCTGATGATTGATCGTTTCCGTAGTGCGAATAAATGGCCAATCCGACTGAACGATTCCAGCGCAGCACACGACGTTGGGGACAATATGTGAGCGAATGACGTTGTCGAGATCTTCCATATTTTCCATTGTTTCATCGAACCATTCCTTGACTTCAAGGAACACGTCGTTCTTTGGGACCAAAACGGTTAAATTCTCGTTTGCTGTGCTGAGCAGATCGGTGAGATTCGCCTTTTCAACCAATTGTAAGAACATGCTGTAGTCGGTATTGGTCTTAAGCACACCCATAAGATCCTACCGTAATGAGACGTCAATAAGTTTTAGTTCTTCGCTAATTAAATACTGAGTCATAACCTACCGATTTAGGAGCCTCCAGAACTTTGTCGACCTCATGTACGACTGATCCGCAGGTTTCGTCGTCAAAGTGCATCAAACGAGCACAATTTACAGTGGCACGGTTCATAACATTGGTGAAAACGGGATTCTAAAAACGAAATTACTTAAGGTCTGAATGAAAGCTAAATAAATGTATACATACAGTATTATACAAATTAACACGAAGATTTTGACCAGCTGTAGTTTTGACCATATCTTCAGAGAGATCACATGTCTTAATCAACGGCTCTGCAACATGGTATTCCAAGAATTCCTTCAAACGGGCATTATCCTTCAGGGTCTCAGGGTGCTCCTTCAGCTGCTGGATCCAGTACTGTCCGGCTTCGGATTGTTCGAAAGCTTTATCCGACGGGATGAAAAACGTCTTATTTGATAAATTGTCGAATGTATCTTCTAGCCCGGCATCATCGATCAGTTGCTTGAAAATGGTCAGGTTACGATTGGCGAGAGTGTTCGAAATTGGCATACCACTATCGGTGGATAAAACCGTATCGATGACATGAACAACTCCGTTCGTACCCATTAGATCCATTTCCTGAACATTTGTGTCACCATTAATCTTCAAACGTTGGTCCTTCTTGTTGGACATATCGTCCGCCTCGGTCTTCGCCATCGAAGCATATTCAAATTCTAACTTCTCGCCTAGTAGATTGTACGTGGTCGTCTTTACTCCGTTAATGGCAGCCAGTGAACAGAATGTTATGTCCAGAATGTGATTCTTAAGAATATCTATAAAAATACAGAAATGGAGAACGATGATTAGCCATCAAATAAATGTTAGTACTACCTAGTTCACATAAAGCAAACGTTTGACGGATATGGTGCGAACTATTAAAGAATCTTTTATTTTGCATCTCACCGCAATTCAACAATGTGCGAAATGATCATCACGCCTTATGAATGCGTAACGAACACACGTTGTGTGAGAAAATTTCAAGTAAGCATTGTTTTACTGCAGCTGCAAATTGAGACAAAAACAAGCATGACGGAATAATCAAATTTAAACCAGACGTCTGCTGAGCAGACAAACCAGATCGGTAATTTACGATTTGTGTATAATAAAAAAGCAGCGTAACGAACAATTTAGAAACCAAGAACCATAGCGTCCCGTAGCGAACCACCCAAAGTTAATTGATATTCTTGTGACTATTGTCCGACTTGAATAATGAGTACGACTACTCTCCAGTGAAGCGATAACTGATGAATCATCAACTTTTAGTGACAAAAGACGACTGTCTTCCCAAATGACTTACTTGTAGCGCATCCACTGCCGGCCTTCAACTTGCGGCGGATGTCTTTGTCCAGTTTCAAGAAAGCATCATCGTTTGGAGCAAACACCGTAAAGTGCTTATCATCCCCCACCTCCTCAAGCATTTTGTTAAGACCGGTTTTCTCCAGGATGGTTCTCAGAACGGTCATATCATCGCGAGCTTGAATGATCTGCATGATGTTGCTACGGACTGGCAGCAGAACGCGATCAACGACGTGCACAATACCCTTTTCGGCGACATGGTTCAGCTTGACAAGCGGAGCACAATTGGCGGTGTAGCGATACGGATGATTCGCGGTTTTATCCGATGGCCCACGTGGGAAAATGTTGACGCGGATATTCGTGTCATCCAATTCCGTTTTCAACAGTTGCTCGTTGCTGACGTCCTCAATATGGTAGGATCCGTTAACTGTGTGCGCCAAGATCAAGTCACGGGCGGTCATTCCGGAAAGATCTGCTTGACGCTTTGACCGCATAGCCGAATCAAATGCAACCAAGTTCTGGAAAGTAATAAGGGATATTTTAGATAATGGAACAGTTTGCAAGCTTGACAATTCTAACTACAACATCTCGTGTACTTAATATTCGGTAACTGAAAGGAACTTTTCACACAGCAAAACATAAATTTTAATATTACATCCAATAGGATGCACTTCAATTATGTCGAAAATCTCATGTAATTTTTATGGCCACAAAAATAAACAAATGCAGTAAAAGCAGCGTAATGTCAGTTCATGCACTGTATTAAGGATAATTTTGTCTTTTTGGCAAGTAATATTACCACAGACAAACCGACATGAATGACCATAGCAAAAACAATAAAATATCTGACCAAAGCACATCACTGACATCTGGCTCCGCGTTCGCGGGAAATATTTAGCTAAGCTATGAACCCGCATGCAAAAGTTATTAATTGGTTCGTGTCTGATCTATTCTGGACAAATTATTTTTATCTAGATCAAAAAGTCTTATGGACAGTTCGGATCACTGCACATTTAAATCGGTCGTTTACGATTTTCGGGCATTAAGTGTCATGTCGGTTTGTTGGTGATATTACACCATATTTTTGACACGATTGAAGTGCATCTACTTTGATGTGATATCAAAATTGTTTTTTTTTTTGCTCTTCATCGAATGATTCAAATACCTTGGGTTTTAATAAAGTAAACAACATTCCTTGTTCAAAGTATTTAACACCTACAAAGCAAGACCATGCGGGAGATCGCTGGGTTCGATTCTATGAATTTTTCCATTCATTTTTTTTTCACAAAGCTGTAGAAATTCTGTCATGTAACTCTGAAAAGTCAGCATCCAATTATTTTAAAACTTCTAACGAATATCGTAATTAACTCCGGAAACCAACATTCTCCACTGAATTCTCGTTTGAGTAGCCTTGACATTCTGCTAAAAATTTCAAATCTCCTCACAACTAATTGCTCTTAAGTATTCTTCTTACATTCTCATGGAATCATGCTCGAAAATCTCTTGTATTCAGAAAGTCGCCAAGGCTACAAGAGCGTAGTGAATGGGACATGCAATCCCGCAAAAACGCTGTATGCCTCTATTCTGTATAATGCTTTAAATTATTATTCTTAGATTCTAATGGTTTTAACGTTGGATGTTTCATTAGAATTCATTTTTAAGATTCAATCCCAATTCTAGACAAACATGTGAAAATGATCAATAAGCCACATGTAAACAATTACTCTAAACGTCGATTTCTCACGGATGGAGACTCATCATGCAAACCAACAGCAAGCATCTGAAAGTTTACTCTATTAGACGCAAGGATGTGATGTGGCTGTCAAATACGAACAATAGTCGCCTACCCGAGCAAAGTCTGAGGTCAAATTGAAATCTAAATTTGATGTTGTGATTTCGCTGATAATGATTACTCAGGTTGCTGTCGTTTTGGTCATTTTAACGGTTAAAATATCAAAATTGAGATTCAAAAAATCTTCCTGTGACATCACAATGAAAACTATTTCTGCTATCAGTGAGAGCAAACTGAAAACTCAATTTGATATCAATTTTTCATGTTTCGGGTACCTCGTAACTGGTTCCAAACGTAAACAAGCGTTTGGAACCAATTTCATACAAGAATGATCAGTAGGATAATTAAACAGCACGTCCCCCCGCAGATTAGACGGCGTTGTTAGTTTGCGTTTATGGGTTGTACTCGTGAGAAATCGACGTTTTAAAAGTGTTTGCCATCGATGAAGTGAAAATAATCTTTACTGTCCATAATAAGGGGACACGGACAAGATTGTAGCAGGGTTATAATGCATGATCAAATATTAGTAGCATCCGTTGTTTTTGATTGATTTGAAAAAGTACTTCCTTGAAGTACACCAGTACTCTTGGAAAAGTACAAATAATACATCTTCCTAATTGACTCAGGGGGGTTCAAATTTGTTTTTTTTTCCGTCAATCTTGTTTTCCATGCTTAGCACCAATGCACAGTGGTCCAGAATGCAGATATAAATGGAATGGTATGTTTTGAGCCTGAAATTGAAACTTTAGACTAAAAGTCTCTTCTACAAAGTTGTTCCTTATAGTTAGGCCCTCATTTTTATGACAATGAATTATTATCATTAAAATAGAAAATCTAACTTTTTTGTTTAAATAAATTAAGGAACTTCGTTGAAAACAACTTTTTTGTACCTCTTAAGTTGGCCGATTTAGAGCTATTTTCTTGAATTGAGTTAGGGTAGCTCTAAAAAAACAGTTGTTTTGCTCTTCTTTGTTGCTTCCTGGACAAAATAGTTTTTTAGGACTAACTTTTTTATTTGAAATTTCTCATGAAAGTCATCCTCTAGAGACTTTTAAAACTCTTTAAGACGAATGTTTTATAGCGACATTTGTTGTCTGTATCTCTTCCAATAAAAAAGATATACCCAAATATACTAAAAAATATGAATAAATTCAATTTTTTTACACGAATTAAAAATATAACATTCCTCCATTATTTTCATATTATTAAGAATAACATACGCCCTTTCAAATGCTGTAAAAAAAACTTTTTTTTTTGTTTGCCCCAACCAGAGATATTAACATTTGAAAAGTGCATATTTTTAGTATACAAACGTCAATAACTCTTGATCAGCGAAAGATATTGACAAGCTTCGTGCAGCAAAAAATTGCGCATTCTTAAGGTCTAAAACTTATTTCAAGACACCTTTGCTGAGAAATTCGAAATAAGAAAACTAGAGCAAAACCGAGGGGGGGCGATACATCTAAATCTCAATTATAGATGCTCAAAAAATCCCACACTAGCGAATCAATCTTCAAAAAAATCATCTTTAATATCTCGCACCTACTTGCACCGTGCTTCATCTTTATGCAGGAAATCTTCAAAATAAACATAATTCTTCCTTCTATTTACTCAGCGTGCGTGCAGCTAGCCACAGCAAAACACAATCTTTCCTGCATCGTAGATAGAGTCGTCCCCCTCGAGCAAAACAACTGTTTTTTTAGAGCCACTCTAACTCAATTAAAAAAAAATAGCTCTAAATCGGCCAATTTAAGAGATACAAAAAAGTAGTTTTCAAAAAAGTTTCTTGAAATTATCTCAGCTATAACTTTGCCGAGGAATGTATACCTTAATTTATTCAAAACAAAAAAGTTAGATTTTTGATTTTAATTATAATAGGAACCACCCCATTGTCATACAAATGAGGGCCTAAATATAAGGAACAACTTTGTAGAAGAGACTGTTAGTCTAAAGTTTCAATTTCAGGCTCAAAACATATCATTCCACTTAAATCTGCATTCTGGACCAGTGTGCAATGCTACCGACGCCAGGGTGCATGCTTGGCATGCACTGTTGTACACACCAACTTTTGTTTTTGTTTTTCTTTAAACTAATTGATAGATTAAGATCATAGTTTACTATAGATATGCAAAGAGTAGGTAAATCTTAACATTTGAATCAACACTAATGAATTTTTACACTTAAAGTCCGAGATGTGCAGCGAGAATTTCTCACTTCATTTTTGCCACACAAAAATAAATACAGTTTATTACTAGAATTAAAATCTATGAACTTTTGCTTCACCTAATCTACTCGATTATAAACGAAAGCTTATGAATATTTATTGTTGCAAATCGATTCGATTTGCTCCTAAAAAAAAATTTGAATTTGTTGATACAGGTCGATATAACGTAACTGTCACTTTTGACTTTCATCGCTGATTTCTAGCTAACAATTATTGAATCAAGCAAAGAAATAACACCATCGAATTGAGATAATTCTCTATCTATCTTCTCTAGCCATGCCAATTTGAATCATTGAATTGATATTTATGAGATATCGACGATAGAAGTCAAAAGTGACAGTTACGTTATATCGAGGTATACCTGTATGAGAATACAGATTGATTCAATACTTACATTCTCCCACATCTGCTCAGTGAACCGACTGTAGGCACTATCCGGCACGGCAAAAAGCGTAAGATCCTTCTGCAAAATCGATTCCAGTCCGCTCTTTTTCAGCGTGGCGATAAATTCCTTCGCACCGAGTCTTTCAACAGTTTCCGCCATTGGATAGAGGTCTATTTTTTCACACTGTGCATTTGGCGGTCCATTTCTCGGGCGAGCATAACCGTGACAACACTGACGTGTGACTTTAACCGTGCGCTTTCGTCCATTATTATTTTTACTGCAAGCCCAATTCGCATACGAAAATAAAAAGAATAAAAAGAAGGCCCATCATTAGCTAAAAAGCCCCCAAAGTGTGTCGCCATCACCCACGCCCCCCAGTTGGGCTCGTGGTAGGTGGTGCATCATTGCTCCAATACTCACACCGAGGTACAGACGTGTTTGTTCTGCTGTTCGGCACACGATTCAAAGTTCATATTGAAAACGCCGAAACTTTGGAAGTTGCCGCCATCTACGGCGATCTCGTGGTTCTCGTCACCGTCGACTTCCTCTTCTTGCTCTTCACGCTCCACGCACACGTTTTCACTGTGGAAGACGACATATGAATATAAATTAGCAGAGCTTAGCTGAATTTGATATTGTGGCTTATTTTTCACAGAAGTAGCAAATATAATTGAAATTCAATCAACGAATGTCGTAAATGATAGCAATTTGGGGAGGACCTTTTTTGTCACAGGTGCAAACGAATATTCTATATCAGCAATTATTGCAATGTTTTGAATGTGGAAGTTTGTCAGAACCTATTAACCACAAGCCAACCGATTGTGTTGTGCTGATACAAAACGAGTGAGTCAAATAATCAAACGAAATAAAATAGCAGCCTTTTATTAGATTGATGAATCTGTAGATCATCAAGAGTTGGACTTTAACAACTCTTGATGTTCTACAGATTCAGCTACGATATCTTCGAATCTTATTGTTTATTAATTTATTTGATAAGGCTCAAACGAATTTACTTTAAAGAGCCGAGCATTCTTGGTCACTATACAATATCTTCGAATCTATCTATCAACGAATCGAAGATAAACGATTCTCAAGTTGCCCTGTATTTGGTATTCATTGATTAATAAAACGCATTTGACCGACTCAATCACGAAAATATATGGAGCACCCAGAGGCACAAGGGCATTTCGTTAAATTCGGCGAAGCGCAGTATGAGGCTTTCACGTTCAGAGTTCTGCTTGTTGATTCCGTGGTCGTGCGGTCACCCTTCGTTCAAGCCTATTGTGAGTGTCACGAAGTGAGGGTTCGATTCCCGCTCCAGCCGTTTGAACTTTTCGCAACTCGAAAATGTCCCTACTGATTTGGGTGTTGTGTGCTGTTCGTTGTCTAATGTTAAAGTTCAGTCTGTGGCAACCTTTGGTTGAAACCGGTGTCAGTTGTCTCTTTTAAAAGCAAGTAGAGGTGAATCCGCCACGCACTGCCGATTGCAGTGGAACGTCAAAACCCATGAACTGAGAAAACACCTGTTGTGGAGAATGCCTAAAGTTCTTGTAACCAGTGTTGCGATCTGTAGTAATTGCGATATTTTGGAAAAGTTTTAATAAGTTATGATTTTATTGTCCAAATTTTTTGTAAAATCCATTACATCCATCAGCATGTGGTGTAGTTAACTAACAAATATAATTACGGGAAAACTCTACGAATATCATGGTGAAAACCGTTATGGTCAATTATTGAAATTATTTTATTTAAGATCTTTCACAACACAACAGTTCATCAGCTCTAGCAGCTTGACTTGACAATTTGATAGCTCGCAATTCGTGTTGACATCATTGGCTCTTCACGACTCTGTGCGACAGTTCCGTGTGGGATTTTTCAGTGAAGTGAAAGAGTAAGGAGCAGTCCGCAATTTTTCACGAACAGAATCAGTTGTTTATGGAATTTTCCATAGGAGTAAAGAGCTACAGTAAAGTCGTCAATGATTCGACATGAAACAGTTGATAGCTCGCTGCTAGGATTTCACTTGCAAACTGTCTGCAAGGTTCTTGAAATTCACGTTTCGGCAAAAAAAAATGCAATACAATGACAAGGCTGAAATAAAATCTGCAATCATGCACTGGATTTGAACCCGACGGAAATAGCAGGAGAGGCAGACACTGGAGCCTCAACAGGAAAATTCGTTAAAATATTTTTTGTTCTTAAAACTATACGGGAGCTTAGACCATGAGGTTCTACAGTTTAAACTATTGTTTGTAATATGTATTTGCAGGATCCGAATTATTGTGTCATTCCAACTTACAGGATATAACCAGGTCCATGAAGACCTGCAAGTTCAAAAAATTTGGTCGTAGCATCGTACAATACCTCGTTGAGTATGTAGAATCTCAAGATCCGAGCTCCAAGATGATTTGGAAAATCTAAGATACTGGTTAACATGTTTATGCATAATGTGATTAGGTCCTAGGTAGCTCCATTGATTAAAATAATAAGTGAGGACATCGTACAAAACATTGGTGGAACCTGTAGAACATCAGGATTATTTGGAAGACTCGAATTAATTTGTACTTTCTTAGAAAACTAGATATCCTACATGATATAAAGGGGTTTAATGAGGCTCTGCTCTGCGGATGCAAACATGTAGTCAGGATATTGTACAATATCTCGTTGAGTCTGTAGAACATCAAGATATGAACTCATGGATGATTTGGGGAATGTTAGATATTTAGTAAACATAAATATATATCTCCCCTGATATAATGAGATCTCACAAAGCTTTCTGGAGTCGTATATTTAGTATAGACATCATGAAAAACTGTATTGAGCATGTAGAACGCTGATTTTAAGATCTTATTGTGTCTCGTATATTCAGTTTTTGATTTAATATGGTTTGATTGAGCTCTACGAGGATTTTTTAATACATATCTTTGGATAACATCTGCTTTGAGTCTCTGTTGGTCCTTTAGAGATAAAGGTCTAAACTTCAGAATAATTTGGATGTCCTAGACCAGCACACCCACAGTTTTTGAACTACGGGCCAAATGTTAAAATCCATATAAGCTGGCGGGCCAAATCCAGTATTGTACGATGCTTGATTTATAAGTTTTGGATTTCCATAGTACTTGATGTCCGGGAAAATCAGAAAACTTCAACCCAAATTTTCTGGAAAAATTAACTACTCTGATTTTTTTTTGATTTTTTTTATTCGATCATAAAGACTGTACTCGAAAAAAATGCAACAAATAAAAATGATCACCAAAAACCCATTTTAAGTCGGATATTTTTGAAACTCTCAAGGAATAAATAAACATATATTAGCTATGTTTTTACAAAGTTGGTTTATTCAACCTCTTCTCCTAGGCTATATGCCCGTACCTTGGACTTAACGCTACCCAACAAATCCTGTTCAACACTTGCGCCATCTTTCTTACACACTTTCATCAACTATTTTTTCAATAATAATAACAATTTTTAGGATCAACTCAGATCGTCTTCCGGTTTTCGACAAATTGTTAAGCATATAATTTCCTAATAGGATGATGTTTGGGACATTTCTAGCGCCACCTAGCTATAAATCTATGAAAATTGTGTTTTCATTTTAAACTTGGACTCGTATATAATAGTTTCAAATAGGTGTATGTTGACCGATTTGGCTCAAATTTGAAGTGAGACTTGGAGGTAAGTAGGATCATTGGGCTACGTGATTTTTTTTTTCTAGTTTAGAATATTGGGTGCAAACATTCATATGACGCGTTCTTATTAACTTTGTTCGCTAGCATTTGAACTAAAGTATCGTACCAAAAGCATAATTTACCTATTAACGCCGAAATCCTAGATTTATTTGATGCTTTCTGCTTCATAGGCCCAAAAAGGCTGAAGTAGTTTTCTACCCTACTGAAGTATTAACCGGCAAATCAGTGTAATGAAACGCCTAAATGTATACTATCTTTTATTTTTGTACAAGGATGATGATGGGCATAATCTCTTTACACATTTCTCAACTGAGTGTTCACTCGGCTGCCGACAAAAGCAGGCCACTCTCGATCAATGACGTTTATATAAGGTCTGGGCCAAAGGGCTTATTGGTGTTAGTGAAATGTGCAAATGGTTATGGGTGTTCGTATTATATTGCAATGTTTATCTTTTTACACGAAACAGCTGTTGGCAGTGACGTATTTCTATCTGTTCTCAGTATGTCGGCAGTGACGTATATCTATCTGTTCGCAGATGTTCAGCAATGTTTACAACATTTTTGCTTCTAACACCAGCAAGCTGCCTGTTGGCCCAGACCTTGTATAAGTGTCATTGACTCTCGATGTGTGTTACGCGATCGTCTGTTTTCTCGGCAGCAACCAAGGTGACTACATATAGGTGTTCTAATGTGTAAAATTCATGATTCAGCCATGTTGGATTTTTGTATGGGACAGCGACCGAGTTTGTTTACAATTTGCTCTAAAACCGCACTTTCCCCGCCCCCCCCCGTCCCCCCCGCGACCTCCTCGCCTATATAGTGACAGAGCTGTATCACCATTTATATACCCACCATGGCAGCAACCATTGTGTGGTCCCCCTCATTGTTCTTCATCAGCAGTTCTTTCGGTCGATGCGTCGTCGACTTTGGAAAGCAACCGTTTAGTGATGAGTGTGTGAGTGCGTCCATTGCTGCACCAGTTCTGATGCGGAAGCGGCTCCAGTTCTGATGGAGGAGGCTTTTTGGATAGCGGAAGATAAAGTGTTTATTGTGTTGTACCTTTTGACTATTGTTTTAAGATGTAAGGTAACCAACTTGAATTGGACCCCTACATATTTTGGACCCTTTTCATATATTTTCCTCGCTTACTGTCTAGTTTCTTCAAATTCCTCTGGGTTGATGTTGTAATTACATTCTTTCAATTACTTGCTATGTCTCAAGATCATTAGTTCACCTCAAATTGCTTACAATTGCTCAATTTATGCAGTTTTAGAAAATGTTTTCGAAAAAATTTCATGTTTCGACGTTTGTCAAGAGGAATCGGCGTTAGTGTACTTGTTTTAAATTTGGTCTAAAATATACAATTCAATTATTTTTTTAATCAAATCAGTTTATCTGACTTTGGAAGATGTATTTCACGTGTTTATAAAGATTTCACCTTAAGATTTTACTTAAAAAGTATTAAATAAAAAGCACAGACAAACAGACATAACACTCGCAAGTTGTTCATCGAACAAGCATTTAACGGTAAATTTAAAAGTATCGTAGTTGGTAGTACCGCCACCTGTGGCGTGCATAGTCAATTCCCTTGCGTTTGACGTTTACACACTACCGCCATCTGTTCAGCGTACTACCCACCACAGTGTATTCAACAGATGGCGGTAATGTTTTAGCAACGATGTTTTACAGTGATAAATATTCAATGTGTTATGTCTGTTTGTCTGTGTAAAAAGTGTCCAAAAAAGATCGTAAAAACATGTTACCAACTTATTTTGGACACTTATCAAATGAGAATCATCAAAAGAGCGACAAAAAAAAATTCCGGTTGGTCGATCGTGCTATTATCTCAGATTTCTGATTAAATTGGTAAGTAAATTAATCAAAATTATATGAA